TGAGTGTGTGTGTTGTGCTTACCTCTGAGTACACTGCACAAAAAACTGCTCCCCCAGCAAGGTCTTTATTTCATCCAGACGCTGAGCTGGGGTTGGCTGCAGCATGCCATCGGGCCAGTTTGACTGCGTAGCTGAGTCTGGGAGTTGCTTATTCTGCGTTCCACTAGAAGTAGACGTATTTGTTTCAATTAGCCAGCAAATAAGTGTTTTCAGTTCCATTCCCCACTTGATAGCAGGAGTACAGGACAAATCCACTTGCTTGGCTGTCTAAACTGTGCCTTTTTCACAGTTAAAGTGTAGTGGCCATTTAAAGTGCAGTCTCAACTTTCAAGAGCAGCACATTTGTAAGACAGAGCTATCTTTATTCAGCACCATTACCAGACTGGTTAACAATCCACTGCTCCTGATCCCTCTCGGGCATCTTCCGGGTTCACCAAAACCAGGAGTGATGCAGCACAGGGAAGCAGCGCCTCCTGATATCGCTGTCTGAGCTCAGTGTGCACAGTAGCGATGGACAAATGAGGGCTCAGACCTTCCATCATCTTTGTCTGGGAAGCAAGTCTGGTGACAAGTAAAGGCACTGCAATTTGTTTGCCAGCAGATGCAGCTGATTGAAAACCTGGCGGCTGCTCTGCTTGGTTGTCCAGATGGGTCTAAACAGCACTGTCACCAGCACGGTGTCCTTTCACTGTCACAGTCCTTCAAAAAGGTGCACTCCTGCTGTCAGTACTCAAACACTCAAAACCAGACGTTTGTAGTGCCTGCAAGACATGAACCTGTCTATGCCCTGTCCACAAATCTGCTCTGCACACATCTTTCTTACACCGTTCGTGCCCCATGCTTTCTCTTCCTGTGATGCCCCGAATGCTGGAAGTCCTTTAGAGACCCTGAAGGACGGCTGCCAACATGCATACCACTGTACCTTCCGCACAGCCAGTGGAAAGCAGCTTTTGTTTCTCCTTTGAGTTTTTGTCAGCATGTATGGCAACATTGTCCATGACTGTAATACTCCACGTGAAATACCAGCTACCTACAGGGTAGTTCTAGCCTCCCTCATCCCCCATCGCTGTGTAAGCAAAGTGTGAAGAAATGCAGTGGCGCAGTTGGCTGGGCTGCTTTGTAGTAGTGTCACAGTCAGTGAAAGTTAGCGGAGGGAAGAAAAAGTGTGCAGCTCAGCAGACTGAGCCATGAAACATCTCACAGGTTGTCCAGTGATAGTGACCGGACGCTGCTGATTGTTTGAAACAAGAGTTCCAATTCAGCAATTTCGTAAGAGACTGCTGAGGGTCTGTTTCAGTGAAGAGATGATGCTTCAGATCTTTCATTCACACATGGAAAAAGAAAAAAAAATAATTCTAAGGCTCTTATACTGCCAGAACAAAAAGACACCGTGTGCTGAAAGCTAGCAAATTGGTCAGCCTCAGAGCTGGATGTCTGCAATTTTAGGAAAAAAACAGAAAATCATTATGCTGTACAAAATGAAACCTGGAGACAAGCTTGGCGGGACATTTTAGGGGGTGAACCAAGTGTGTCCTTACCTGATGGAATCTCTTAATCAAGACCTTTGGCAAACTAGCACTGGCGAGGTGAAAAGACAATGAGTTACCCTCTTTCCATTCTAGGCAGGCTTCCTTTTTTCACGAGTATTCAGGCAGGAACCGGGTGAGGGCCAGAGACATACTTGAGTCTTCTTGGCTTAGGAGAGAATCTGAGGACCTTTCACAGGACAAAGGCCTTAAACTTTAGGGTTTTTTTGGTATGTGATTCAAAGTGGGTCCAGATGAGCTATTTGGCTGGGATAGTCTTTTCATTGAGGCAATATAAACTGTAGACCCGCTCCCAGATTTAGTAGAAATCGGCCATAAGATCAGGGTAGCTGCTGAAGCCCAGCGAAGAAGAGGAAAGCAATGGGCTGAAAGCAACAGCCAGAACAGCAGGGAAATATCTTGGTCAATTCAGTAGATAATCAGAAGGAGAATCACAGATTGCCATTTGGTGGCAGAGAATTATCTGATCGTGGCTGGTACTTGAGAAGAACTGAAGATACAAAACTTGCAGACACATACTTAAATGCTTGTCCTCTGGCTACTGTGAAGGCAGAAACAACTCCAGTCTTAATTACTGCACTGTGAATGGCCCCATAGATTATCTGTTCCATTTAATAAGGTAAATAAGAGTTGTATAAAGTAATCCTGTACTGCAGAAGATCCTGCTTGATTGAGTGTGGAGATACAAGTGCGTTTGCTGAGGTGAACATGCTGCTAATGCCAGAGTGTGCACTGGATTCGTTTCACACCGGCACCATTTCTGTCCCCAGGAGAGCTGGCTGCCAGTAACCGTAGCCACTGGGTTTGGCTCTTACCACCATCCAAATACAAGCTAGTTAATTTTTAAAAGACTAACTGAAATCTTCCAAGCCCGTTTTCAAGCAGTGCAGGGACCGGAGTCAATCTGTTATGTGCTTATTGTATCGCGTTGTGTAACACTTCTGCAGTGATTTGGCCATGCTTTGGATTTGCTGCTGTCTGTGGATCAGGGCTCATGTTCCACTGTACCTGCATGGTTGAAGTATTTAGGAGTTGAGCTAGTTATGGTGACATGAATGTGTCAGAAAGGTCAAAGTTCTAAAATCCGAAGTTTCACGCTACCATACTGAGTATGCTATATTTTTGAAAGAATGTACTAGTAAAGTAATAACCCTTTCAGTGGACTCTTGACAGTTTAGTAACAGTAATGATAGAGCTATAATACGCTAGCCACTGCCAAAAATAATCCAACAACTTTTCCGACTGTTCTGCCACCCTAAGAAAACACTGCTTCAGTTCCAACTGGCTGGTTTTTGACCACAAAAGCGTTTATTTTCAGCAGGGCTTTTTTTTTTTTTTTTTTTTTTTTTTTTTTAATTTTTTTTTTTTAAGTTCTTTTACTGTCTTCTTCCCGGATTCCTGGTTGTGGCAGAATCCAGTAAATGATGCAGTGTTATTCAAATGATGCTGAAGACTGCATCTGTATACTATTCCTTTCTACCTACCATTCCCAGAGATTCATTAAATATCCTACTGAAGTAAGTATTTCTTCAGAATTTAATGCATTCAGGATTACAGGCCTAGGGGGTAAAAAAACCTTGCTTCGTTCTTACTGCTTAGTCTCAGCACATATGGTAGGAGTAATGGCACATTATAAATATATAAAATGCGATTTGCACCTGAATGCTTCATGGGGGTTTTCAGTAAAACAAACACAGTTTGTACCATCTGATCTAAGGGCTGTCTGAAAAAGGTAATAATTGAAATATAAATGATCAGTCTCCCTATTTCTTTGCTTATTTGTCAGTTATGCGATAAAGACACCAGTGGTAAAATCTGAATGGTCTAAAAGCGATGTTACAAGGGGCTTAATGTAAGAGTGGAGAAATAGATCACATCAAAAAGCATGTGGTTTTGTGTCTTGAAAAACTCTTTGCTTGCAGGCACCTGTAAGTGAAACAAGTGCCAAACAAAACAAGTACATATAGGCAATTCCCATTTTTTTAAACAGTTATCCCACAGAATCTGAGGAAGAACAGTCGAAGAGGCTGTGTTCCCTGGAAGCTTATTTAGAACTGAAAATTTAGTAAATTTACTAAATTAATTGCTTCCAGTAAGAATAGCAGTGCTTAAAATTGTTGCCAAATCTCTGTATAGATCTGTGTTCCATGTCAAAGCCCCAAACTTTTAACTCTTTATTCCAGTGCAGATCAATTTCAATTCAGACTGCAGTACTTAGACAATTAGCAACTGGGTTATAAAGCATGTAAAGATATATGTGAGAGTTTTGGGATTCCAAGAGCAATTTCTGTATTTGACACTTCTCTGCCAAAACTGCCATTGAATTTTGGCAGCTCTTTTGCTAGAATACTCTGTATATACTCTTAAACTTGGAAGCATTGTGATAAAGTATCATTACAGTGGAGAGAAAAAAAAAAGGTGTACTGTGTTGAAGTAGTTCAATTTCATGACTACCACTTGTATAACTGGATGGGTAACAGCACGGAAGACTGGACTCCAGGACATCACTTGCTCTTTCTCCCCAGGGCACTGAACAGTGCAGCCTCTCCTTTCAAGAATGTTAATGTTTTATTTTAAGCTTTCTGAAGGAGAGAAAATGGAAGGTTGATTTAGCACAACTCCAGCAGTCCAGTAGTGGTGGTGTTTAACCAACATAACCTTCTCCCTCAGGTATTCAGCTCTGTCAGAACAAATCAGAAATACTTCTTTTGCACATCTTTCACAATCCTAGCTTTTCTGGGGGGTGTATTTTAAACGGAAGTGATTGGACCTAACCAGCCCAGGATGGTCCCTTCCAGTTGTGTTCTTCTAAAATCAGCTGTTTTCACAGAATAATATTATATATACTTGATGGTAACTGGCAAAACATCAACACCATGTTTTGCTACATTTCAGGGGTATTTTTACATTTGTATTTAAAGTGGATTGATTTTGCTTTTGCATTGACTCAGTAGGAAAGGCTGGCGGAGACAGATGAAAACCTGCTGCTTGAAATTTACTTGAAAAATATGTGATTACATTTCAGAATGTTCATGGTCTTCTAATGTTTCTTTTTTCTGGTTACATTTGACCATGATATCGTGAACAACGGACAGCTTTCCAGTAGGGAAATTTGCTCTAGGGCTTATAAGACCTTCCCAGTATCCATCTGTCCCAGTGTATTCCGATCACTCTGAGAAGAATCATCCTTGAGGTTAAGAACAGTTTTCTTTTTTTCTCATACCTATAGAACAAAGAGAAACAGCTGCTTTCTTCTTTGCTGCCAATGTAGTGCAGTTAAGATACATTTAAGTCTTCAAAAGAACATGAATTCTAGTAATTCAGTTTCCAGCAGAGATTGTAGTCTCCCTGTACTGCCTTGTTTCAACTAGAAACAGTACTCAGAAACCCCTCATCCAGGTTTTTTTTCAGGATCAAAGGTAATGCTGTTCTTTTCCACAGCGTGGTACCTCTAGAACAATCATTGTGAGGGGAAGCAAAAGGTTTTTGTTATGACCAAGGACAATAGAAGTTTTAGCCACCAGTGCATACCAAGCTTCCCCGCCAGCTTGCCGTCAGCACTAAGGCTTAGTTTACAAATATTGCACTAGTACAGTAAAGGACTCCTACTATCAAATCACAGTCTTCTC